ACCCCGACTTGTGCGTATAATGTTCATAGTGGTTCAGCACACCAACTCCAACAAATCTGTGTGAACCAAAGCGTGGTGAGGAATCCAGCCCGGGCTGCGTCAACAGCAGATGGACAGAGTCTGGGGCACCTTCACTGTGCTCTTTTGGGTAGAAACATGGTGCATATGAGAAGTAGAGAATACGATTGGCCGTTTCACAGGCAATGGCGGCAGTCATTAAAATTGCGCTGGCGTGAGAAAGCGGAACTTCCGGCACGAACGAATCTATCTCTTCATCCAGCGCGGTGCAATTGAATCGACGTAAGTGGGCAGAGATGTAGGACAAGCCACTCATGATGCTAGCTTTGGAGAGGCGCGAAGAAGCGTTGCTCGTGTCCGATGCGGTCAGGGAACTAGCCTCGACCCTCAAGGAACTTGTATTCGACGGGAACCGCGTCAGTTTTCCCGTTGTGGCCTGGGCAATACTTTTCACTTTCTTGGCGAGTGAGCGTGCATATTTCTTTGGGACGACGGTGACGTTTGAAGACTCTTGAGAGGCGAACGAGGTGTCCAAGAGGTTGCCGGTGTTTGAGACCTCCCCCTCGGCAGAATTGAAAGAATCGTCGATGAAGAAGGCGCTCATATCTGATGGCTCAATTGCAAAGCTGGCATCTTCGTTACCATTGGCCTTGGACTTCCCTTTATCCATCCTAGGGAGACTCGTATCCAGGTTACTTTCGTCTGGCGTCTCAAAGAGGGGAAGTGGCTTTCGCGCTTGTCTCTTCTTTCGAGGAAGCGCGAAGTTTCCTCCGAGGGTCAATTTCGACATTGCACTGAAATCTGGAGAGACAAGCGAGTCTTCGCCTTCAGGAGGAGCCGTGACCCTGACGCTCGGTACATTGCCATCTCTGCGAGTGGGCAGGAGGCTATCTTGGCGAAGGTGTCTGCGCTTCCACGATGCCATGAACGATGGTCGTTTACCAGATTTATGTTTCGGTGTATACTTTGCTTCGACTGTCGTGACCGTCCTGTCATTGGGTGTGGAGCCATACTGTAAGTTGGGTGAGTACATTTACGACAAGTGGTTCGTGAGTTCAAAGAGTACTCACTGCACTATAAATCACTTCACCTTCACCAAGTGTTGACCCATTGGAGTTTGTTGACTTGGACATGAGTGCTGGCCTTGATGAAGATACTTGTTTGATAGAGAAATCAACTCGGATGGTGTTTACATCATCCGTTGATGCATTCTCCTGGTTTTCCTGTGCTCTGTTGCGTGGATTCTTGCTAGACTATAAGTATCGGTAAGCATTCATCCATCAAACATGGCAATGGATATACTGATTCCACAGCTCGACTGGTTCCAAGGGTAAGGTTCCCAGGGTAAGGGAGTGAGTTGGGATACTTACTTCTGCAGGACTCAATTTCGACCCACCCTCAGGAACTGGCTTGGAACCAAAATCACTGAGAACGAAGGGCCTCGGAGAGACTATGCTGAAGGGCTTCATGTTTCTGAATTTGGAGAATATCGTCCGAGTATCATGAATCAGGAACTATCACCTGAATAAGGAAATATCACCCGAATATCGTCTGAATATCTCGGTGGTTGGAGTTTGTTTGAATTGGGAATGTTCTGAAAGAGTTCAGAAGTTGGTGAGATTGTGGTGGGGACGAGACTAGGATTTGTGGGCATTTTATGGGCGTGTGTGGGGGATTTGTGGGCGTGAGAGAGTTATTTACTATGTAAGCCGTTGGGCACAGGTACCTTGGGGGATGAAAACACCTTGGGGAGTATGTTGTGACTACTCGTTTGTTATCTTTTATCTGTTGCCTGTGTCCACGAGAGAGAAGATATCTGGGTATAAGATCGAGGACGAGGCAGTTAGGGCCCGGGTCAAGAGAACAGCTCAGTAGAGGCTGAGACTCAACAGAGCGTATAGAATCTCATTTGCATGTACCGCCTCATGTTATTTTTCAGTCTCGAGAGGGATGAGGATACACACGCCTCGTGATTTAATTTTTCACAGTGGGTAGAATGCGGTTCGAGACCTGTACGCGATTCCAGACTGGAAGAATAACTGGAAACATGTTTGGATGTTTTGGACGGGCATACTTGGGACGAGGTCAAGTCTAGCACTAGCACCATGACCCCTTACAAGCGAGGTACAAGGGTGCATATTGTTTAATTTATAAGAAAACGGTCAGAATGTGCGCAAAAAGATCTCAGCGTCGATATCTGCATGTCAATCCATGGCCAGCATCAGAATGTACAAGTCTACAGAAAGTTAGCATCGAGTCAGGCGTTGACAGAAATTAATGTTTATGTGCCTTGTAGCCTTGCCCACCACATGCTCATCTCAAGCCCAGGCTCTCGTATACGCATACTAGAGGTTTGTTCTCGTGTGTTGACTGTACATGTGTCTAGAGGGCTGTACCTGCCCATATACATATATGCAGGGCAGCAGATCTAGAGATGTTCGCGTGTGGCCTGGTTGTGGTTCTTGTACCTGAAGAGTTTAGCCCATGAACAGTAAGTGTCGTGTCCAGGAGCCAGTCTCAATTCTCAAGGGAGTCCATTGTTTGGGAACGAGCACGACTACGAGCACGAGACAAGTAGGCACGAGACTACATCTTACCTTCCAACGTTGGAAGTTCTTCTCTATCTCAAGAAACGTCGGTCCTACAAGGTTAGGTGGCCCGGTACCTGAAGGTCGGGATTGCGACTTTCAGCTTTGATTCTCTGCTCTTGACGGTAGTCTCGTACTGCCATCGTGGTCTCTTACGCTGTCAAGCACAGATCCTCTGCGATTGTACTGCATCGGGAAGCCGCGGGCCCGCCAAATAGAGAGTTGGAGTACTGTGATTCATGAATTATTGCGGACATGATGCTACTTTCTGTGCGAAATAAGTTGGTGATATCGATGTTTAATTTACATAGCCTTGTGTGGAAATATTGCCAAGTATATATCTTGAGACATGTTTGGAGGCCACTGCATACATATCATGGCACTCACTTTCATAGCACGATGCATTTCACCTCTGCCCTGGGCACCAGAACGTTTAAATACTGCCATTTGTTCATTGACGTTTTGGATTGTATAACCTTGAAAACACAGATATACATAAATGGCATGTACCTGGCAACCTTAAGCGATTGGGTCAGCATATACATATATAAGGTTATCCAATGATGATTTATACCCTTCTCAACCTTTAGTCTCTGGCCCAGACAGCTGCATCGTGCCGGAACAATAGCCTCGTCCCCAGGCGTTTCAACCGGAACAACGCACGAGAAACCTATCACACCGGTCTACATTGAATTGTACGGCAATGGCGCGAGACCACCATAGGTCTTACTCCTGTACCGGGCCAGTGGAGGAGGCTTTTCACTGCAACGTCTAGCTTTCAATTTATGGGAGTTTTACGTTTCCCCAACTCATATTATATTATTAGAATTCCCATCTTCTCTGCAGGAGAACCGGCGATGTTGGTATGAGACTACGGCGATGTGGCCATCTGTAGAGTGGTGTGCAAGAATGTACATACCAATGCATGCAGTATTGAATTGGCCGGTTTCATGCCGGGCATAAGAGAGTTGTGCTGGACAGTGATTCTGCAAACTTTATTTGTTTAAAACTTTATTGGTAGCGAGGGGAAGCCGTGGTCATGTTGGATGGCAACCGGTTGTGGTTGTGAGGTTGACTGTCTGTCTACCTTCTTAGGTAGGTATTCACTTCCTAAGCAAGTGATGGGTTTATCTTTAAGTAGTAGCTCGCCAGTTTCCTAGAAGCTCGTGGGAAGCTGTTTCCATAGGTACTAGGTATCTAGTACTTGGTACTACACGGCGGCGAACGACTCGAATACAAATACTCAATACATACCTCTCAATCCACACAGCAGAGGCCTCCCTCACAGCCCTCACGAAATACCAAAGTGCCCCCAAAAACCACCACAAGCGAGCGGACGCAGTCACGAGAATCGCCGTCGACACCGCACCAAACCGGCACAGCTCAACCGGGCTGCGAGCGATCTCAATAATCACAACCTAACGAGCCACACACATCACCCACATTCTACTCGACACCCCCACCGCCCCGAGGAACATCGCAATGTGCGACTTCAAGTTAACGAAATGCAAAATCTGCGCGGACGGCTCCTACAAACGAATCCTGACATGCGAGCAGGGCCCGTACTCTAGGTGTGGGGTCTTTGTGGTTGCGAAGACGAAGGAGGTGGATGTTTGTGGGGCTTGTCAGGAGAAGCAGGATAAGAAGAAGATGCCGCCGCCGCCGAAGCCGAAGACAGGGAGGGGTGGGTATAGCTAGCGAAGGGGGATGGGGCGGGGTAGGGTGGAGTGGTTATGTTGAAGGGTTATTGGGATATGTATACTGGATTTTGGTAGCTTCGTCCTGGATTTGGGGGGATGAAATTGGAGCTCGAGTGTAGAGCCCCTAGGCTTGGTATAGATGACTTGAGCATGGAAATTTGAAGAGTGGATTCGGGGATGATGATTTTGGGAGAGAAAGGAAGTTTTAGATATGGCAGAGGAGGCTAAGGGTGGATGATTGATGGCGTTTTGGTAAAGATGGTTCGTGAGTAGCCCTGGTGGCCGAATTGAGTGAGTGAATCTTGGATTCAGAGGCCCAGAATTTGTTGATGTGCGTCAGCTAGATCGAATTTTGTTTTGATGGGAAAAATTAGCTAAAGGTTCCCGAAATTGCTGCAGCTAAAGGGGATTTGAGTGATCGCTTGCCATTATGTATGTTAGGTATGTTTTTACTGTTGTAGATGTTATATACCTGGTTTCAGAATATCATGTCGTTAGAATAGGCTTCTTTTTTTCATTTTAGCTAACGGTTGAGCGCTTGGATATCCTGCTCGATTACACGAACACTCGATTACCATTGGTACCAGTAAGAGATACAGATCGATTGTGGTAGCCTCGAGGCTACGATTGTGGCTGCAGCTGAACGACGAAACAATCATAGCCATGAATGCCAATTAACATGCATAAGCAACCAGTCAAGGTGCCGGAGTGGTTAACGGGTTCGCCTGCTACTTTCCTGTCTCGGAAACTTGTCAGCGGATGTCTTCGGACGCGCAGGTTCGAATCCTGTCCTTGACGCATTATCTTTTTGGCTGTTTTTGGTTTATGGCAGTTTGGTGATCTAAGCCTCGTTCTTTTGTGGGCTTACTATTGCTCTGTGCTTGTTGCGTCTAAGCCTCTCTCCGTTGTAGCCTCGACACCAGCCTCCGTTGGGCGTGAGACGACAGGGGTATATTATCGTGAGTTTCAAATTCCCACAATTCTATTCTGGCTTACTCCGAGGTAGTTTTAGTCTCGTAGGTATTTTTGTCATAGTCTCATGTCAATTCATATTCGTGGTTGCAGTAGTACACTTTTGGTGAAGTAACCTAAAAGAGCGAAATTACGTCCATTTCGGGAATTGGTTGATTCAAAGGAGGGTCTGGGCATGGGATTATTTCTCAGTCTGGTCAGTAGCTCCATTTTTCCCTGGCATTCACTTCACAACGTGCGCCGTCCGTTCAGAGCAAATTGCAACCACTCCTGTTATTATGAATATTTCTTAGGTGCTTAATTGCACGCCTCCACTGGTTGGTCTACAGTCGACCTTTCCCACGGCCAGCGGGTATAAATTTAGAAGTGAATGGCCATCGATCGGCTCCAGATATTAATTAGCAGATTTGCTGCTATCATGTATGTAATCTTCACAAAAGGTGAAAGATACATACCATGTCTGATAATTGTCACTAGTTGGAAGTACTGTGTATAGCTTTTCAGCATCGATCGATGAAGCTTAAGACATGATTGAGTATTCGAACCGCATGATCTATGATCATGACCAATACTTACATCAGCACATACTTAGGTAACTTACTCAATGATCGAAAGCATCGGTACCGCCTTCTCCGCCATCTTTATGACCATGCATCTGAATACTTTCTTCCTACCTACCCAGTTCGAAAAACTCAAATACAGGAGAAAAGAGCGGGGAAAGTTGGGAATCTTTGGAACCAAGAGGTTAAACCTCAATACATATTGCAATTGCAATCCCCATATAATTCGTAATTATAAGCTAATTCGGCTGCGTTTTACATGCACATATTAGGGATGTCGATCGACATCTGATGAGAAAAAAGCAATATCGGTGAATTCACGGCATATATTATATCGAGCTTCCGAGAAGATGTCAGCCATTCGACGCGAGGGTCTGGGGATGAATGATCATGAGGCAATAATTTTACCATTCATTATCAGGCTCAGATTAGAAGAAAATTGGCGAGGAAATATCAATGATGCATTCAAACATCGAGCCTCCACGAACGTAATGTAGACCTAGCTGACATCTCGACACGGAGATGTATGAGATGTACATGCATGTATGATATGATACCCGGCGCGAGACGAGATGTTTTAAATGTGTGTTCTGGTGAACACATATGTGGTCCATATATATGTTTCGGGTATTCAATTTCGAATGTTCTCGTGCCATCCTCGAATATTCGTCAAACATATTTTCAGAAATTAATTCCATCCACCCGCAATTGGGTATAGCTACAGCAATTGGATAATCGTGTAATTATAATTCATCCCCTGTTGAGCAATTGGAATTCTTACATAATTGTTCATAAAGCTCTGAATCTAGGAATGTTCGAACGAGGACAACTACTGTACATGTCAACCACGATGACACTTTGAATTTTACCTCCAGTTCCTTCTCGCTCTTTCTTCTCTCTCCCTCGCCACAACCTCGCCTCCTCTTGCCATAACCTCAATTATCGTGACAATACATCCTAATCCTCCTTCTCGCTTAGCTTACCAGCTTCAGAAATCTTTCAAGTAACAGCCAGCTGCCAGCTGTCCACAATTACGGCCCCAAACGTCAAGCGAGGGCAAAAAATTGACAACCCAACGACATCATGAATAATTCCTGACAGCTGCCATTCCCTAATGCCACACCCTCGAATCGCCTCACGCTTAAAAAAATGAAATTTAACACATCTTTTGCCGGTGAAAACCCATTTCCAAATATCCTCGTCAAGGCCAGAATTTGATAGATTCATCACGAGATGGCTATAGAACCGCAAAAATGTGGCGAAAGGTTTCTTTCGTTTTGCCTCCACCTCTCGGGTATCGTACACTGAAGAAAGTCACCTAATCCACGCACATATTGACGGATCGAAACACGTTTCCTTATACGATTTCAATTGATCCAGCAGGCCCCCACAAAAGTATACATAAGCAGCCCCCCCCCCCATCTGGCACTCTCCCTCTTCTTCCTCTTCTCCATCCGCTTCATCCCATAGAATGGGTCAATCTCGAGAATTCAACCCCCACTTATCATTCTCCTCCTTTTGACACTTTTATCAAAAGAGTTTACCAATATATCTCTACCTTCACCTCAAATCACTTCAACCTTCAACCTCCACCACTTACCTTCTCATTTCTTCAATCGAACTCAATTCAATTCAATTCAACCCATCCCACCTCACCCTTCCACAAACCTAAACCAAACCACAAAAATGAGCAACTGCCTCCTCAGCTCCAACCCCCGCCTCAAAAGATCCCGGCGCAATCGGAACATCATCCTCATCGCCCTCCTCATGTTCCTCTCAATCTCCATGGTCGCCACAAAACCCCTGGTCCACGAAGCGCTCGTCTACAGGAGGGCCGCGAGGGCCGCGAGGGCTGCTGCTGCCATGGCGGCTGAAATCGATCAATCCATCAAAGCCATCACTGATACAACCAATACCACCAATACCACCACCGAAAATATCGGCGGTGGAAAATCAACCTTCCTCCCACGGTCAGCGTCTCCCATCTTCAGAAACCAGAACAACGATGAAAAATTGCAACTTTCCACACAAGAAGGCAAGCGGAATTTGGCAGAGGAGATCGATGTGGATGATCTAGTTGCTTCGCTCGAATCCATCAACATCCACCCATCCCCGAGTAATGTCCTTGTTGTGCAGAGGAGTGGTGGCGAGGGCAAGATGATTCGTGTTGGGAAGATGAGGGTCGAGAGGGATTAGAAGGGTAGTGATTGATGACGGGATTTGAGGTGCGGTATATTTTTTCCCGAATGTGCGATGAGCCAGATGTTGGTGAGCATGTGATGAACAGCCGAGGCGTGGGGATGCTGTTGAGCTGTTTGGCATTTGGCGGTGGAAAAGATGTCGAAGCAGGTTCAGGGTAATGGCTTCACACATGATCGATTCCTTGTTCGGCGATCAAATTCGGTGGCATTGAGGAATGGATATATTCTTCAATGTGGCACCCTTTACGAATATACCCACTTACCCTCAAAGCTCAAAATAAGGGCGAGAACAATAAGTAAGAAAACAGCACCAACAATTATAGAAAAAAACAAAAACTAATTATGGGACAAAGATCAAGAAAAACGACAACAACAACACAACACAAACCAATAGGGCCCATAAAAGACACGGGTGGAGATTAAAACGGTGTCATGGTGAAAATGGAAATAGTCTTCGGGGTGGCCGCCTCTGGAATATTTCCATTCACCCGTCAACCTTCGATGGATATCCTCGATACATGCCCCCCTCCCTCATCCCTATCGAGCCGCTCGGGCACCGCGCGTGAAAAACAAACACAAAACTAGATGGAAATACACACCGCATATTTCCCATCTATACAAAACAAAATGACGAAATGTCGTCGGACAGACATTCCAAGCGAGACCAACAACACACCAGCCTGGCAACCGCCTTCAAAATGGCCACCACTTCGCAAGTTTTCTCCTCCACCCCCGCTTGGCATTCACAGCTTTTTCTTTACAATCGGGGCACCTTGCCCTTAACATTGGCCCATATGGCATATTGACCAATTTGCATGGGATACCCGTGCCCGGAACTGCCTGAGATCCAACTGGAATCACTCGACCTGGAGGAGCATTTGGCGGAAGCGCATTCGCAGGCATGGTAACCGGTTGTGCATTTTTATTTGCACGGTCGATATCCGCTTGGGTTACCCGGTGGATCATGCCAGCTTGCATGATGATGTCCCCGACGGTGAGGGCGTAGTCGCCAGGTGGGGGGTCGAGGGCCGCCAAGTTCATGTACTGCTTTGCGGCATCACATTCCATGAGGTTTCCGTATGCAACATTATGCCCACAGCGGTATCTGACATGGTAGGCGATGCACATGTTGAAGCTTTGGCGGATGGTTGGACTTGTTATGGTGACTTGGTTTGGTGGACTTGACTCGGTATTGAAGACTGCAGGGCTTGGTAAGCTTTGCCGTGTTTATTATAAGAGCTGAAACCCCAAATGCTCCCCCGCGTCGGACAGGACGCTGCCACGTCCTGTCAGATTCAGGGGATGGAGAGGAGGGTTTGAGGAGGCTATACGAACTTGTTGAAAAGATTTGTTAGATTGTTTTTGGTGGATGAACTCCAGGAACCCTCTTGGTTCAGACAGAACGTTGCCGCGTACTGTGCCTGAAAAAGAATGGTAGTGAGGTGGGGGTCGTGGAAGGGGTCCCCGTCTTTCGTTAGATGTCAAAATATGTCGGAGGTAATGACTGTCTCCTCCAATGCTTATCGAGAAAAAGGACAGGAACGAGAGGGAGGAGAGAACAGAGGGAGAAGACATCGTTTGGGATGGCTTTGTACTCCACGGACACGCAGGGTGGACATTTTCGCATTTGAGCGTCGCATTTCTGTATTTAGCGATTGGTTGTGATGCATTTCTGTATCTAGAAGATGGTGTTTCCTTCACCCCGTTTTGGGTCTTTCATGTGATGGCCAACCGCACCTACTTGAGCTGTGTCCGCACAACAAATGTCCAACAACAGCCGCAGCAATTCGAAGATCGTCTGCAGGCGGAAGGTTAAGAATTCTGGGTGACGAGCTTTTTCATTGTCCTAGGAGGAAGTATGTACAGACAATTTCCACAATGGGATATTAAGCGCTAAAGAATTTGATAGTCTCGTGCCCAACAACATTTTCATTCGTGCATAGCCTCTATCGTGTCCAACTCACGGCCGTCTAGCTGATCCCTAGCCTGCTTGGTAGATTGCTGGCCCAGCGACGATGTGCGGGTCCAGCTGACTGATATTTCCATCCTTAGTGTCCACCTTCTG